CAAAAATTGGTTAAATCCAATTAGTGTTGTAGTGATGGGCAGAACACCTGCTTGTTTGGTTTGTGGTCAAACATTCAAACCTAATGAAAGTTTGAATGCGAACCCAGGGGACAATTCACTAAGTAATATCTTTCCGTATCCAAGTATGCACTAAGATACCGCACAGTGTTTTTCCCAAAAAAGTTGACATTCAATAAAATACTGCATGAGTTATTTTATTAAGTCATGCGGTATTTTAGTAGTGAAAACATGTGGTATTATTTCAGATGTCAGTGGGGAATCCATTGAATGTAAAAAGAATATCTGACAATTAGAAATTTAGAAAAAACACGTGTGGGGCCCTCCCATCAATACCAAGCCCTTCAGGTCTGCTATGGATTTTGAGGGGAACCCCCACACCAAACTCTTTTTTAAAAATGGTGTGGTGTCCCACCCAAACTCCATACCGGATCCTTATCCGAGCATGCAGCCTGGCAGGTCATGAAAGGGGTTGGGACGAGCGAGCTCCCCTCTCCTGAACCATACCAGGCTACATGCACTCAACATGGGGGGGATTTGGGGTAGGGGGCACCCCCAAAGCACTTTATCCCCATGTTGAAGAGGACCCCAGATCCCAGCCTCCCCATGTAAATGAGTATGGGGGGTACATAGTAAAAATAAAATGTAATGTAAAACATGACAGTAGACAGTCTTTGATAAGTCCAGTTAAAAAAAAAAAAAGACAAAGAAATGGTTTGTCCGATGTAATCCATCATCAATCATGGCATCCAGCATTGTCATGACAATGTCAAATCACCAAAATAAAAAAAAACAATGCCCACAGACTCATCCGCACTTGCTGAGCTCTCACCACATCTGACATTTGCCAGTCAGATGTAAACAATTGAGCGGAGCGAGCAGTGATGTCACTGCTAACTCCACCCAATTGTGGTGTGATTGACCCAACCATTGTACCTGACCTGAGGTCAGGTACAGTGCTTTGGCCATTCACAATGCACTGTCAGAGAGCAGTGCACTGTGGGGCGTGGCAGGCAAACAGCCTGCCGAATGCCCTAAACGTTCATGTGTTTGCGGAACACACGAACACTCGACTCGAACACCAAGATCATCCCTATAGTCATATATGTGAAAGGCAATTCAAGCCAGCAACACTGAGGCACAACAATAAATAATTAAACTTATCAAAGTGAAACTGCCATCACTGAGCAAAAGGAGCAGTAGTAGTGAAATGTGATCTTACAATTCAAAAAGGCCAAAAAAACTATCAGAAATGACCAAATAAATATGTGTAAAGAAACTGCTGCCATCTTAAATACTTTTCAAATATCCTTTAAACATACTAATTGGCATAATCACTTAGATATGAGGTAGCACTGTGTGAACAACTAAAGTGCTAAAATGACATCAAGTGCTAGTAACCCAGAAATGAGCATATCAATATATAAAATGAATATAAACATACAAAGCTTCTTTAAATAGCACTTGTGCTTCAGTTGTCCATTTCACTAGTGCTAAACACATCAAAAAGTTCCAAATAGTCCATTCATGTGGAAAAGCTCATGCGGACCTCTCCAAATCACAAGGTAACAGGTGCACCACTTCCCTACACTCACTAATGATGTAAACTTTTTTGATCTTGCAAGACTGTATATAGGACCCTGACTGAGTACTACTGGAATATAAATGTCTCAGAAACTTTTAGTATTCACTGTAAAACTTTACAAATGTATGCTTTAAGTAAATAAGTCTGGGATAATCAGTCATCATTAAAAAAAAAATCTTCTTATGAACCATTTCCAGCAATGGGGTGAATCGCATTATCTTAGACCTTCTTCATTATAAATTAGACATACAGAACTGAAAAGTATGCCAGTATAGTTCCTCAGTGAGTTTGTACCACATGTTCTGTGCATGCTTTGAGCTAAAAATGATGTGATTGCACAGTTCCATGTACCTTCTATATAAACTCAGTCTACCAGATGTTGAAAAATATTATTTTCCCTACTGAAATAATTTTTTTCAACCTGGTATGCAATGCAAAAAATATAAGATAATAAAAGAAATGGATGTCTGTTACCCATAAAATGGTATCCTAAGCTATAGGTTGTTTTCTTTTGCAAATCCAGTCCATCAACAGAGAGGGTGATAGAAAGGTTTGTGGTCATTGATCTTTAACATATCCCAAACTTGAATCAGGTAAAAAAGTTCAGCATGCATAATACAATCTTATGCTAAATGTGAATTTACATGTTTTCTATATGTGTGGATGGGATGGGCACTTGCACAATCTATCTAAGGTTGTTTGATAACAGGCTGCAAATTAGTTGCTGTGTAAAAGCAAAGAAAATAAAAAGATTTGCTATTTGTATTTTATAATCTAAATAGCTATGCAATATATAAAAACATTTCTTTATATATACTTTGTTTAGGAACCATTTATACTATAACATTTTATCACATGGTTTTCCACTCACTAAAACACATGTCCAACTTTCCCATAATAAAAGAAGTGTCTGTTCCTATCTCAGTACTGCAATCCAGTGAGTTTTGAAAGATATGATATGCTCATTTTTCCTGCATTTTATTGCTTTGGGAGGCTAATATAAGTCAATGACAATGCATAAAAATGCATGTCACATGCATCTTAATATACACTATATTGCCAAAAGTATTGGGACGCCTACCTTTACAAGCACGTGAACTTTAATAGCATCCCAGTCTTAGTCTGTAGGGTTCAATATTGTGTTGGCCCACCCTTTGCAGCTCTAACAGCTTCAACTCTTCTGGGAAGGCTGTCCACATCCACAAGGTTTAGGAGTGTGTCTATGGGAATGTTTGGCCATTCTTCCAGAAGGGCATTTGTGAGGTCAGGTACTGATGTTGGAAAAGAAGGCCTAGCTCACAGTCTCCACTCTAATTCATCCCAAAGGTGTCTGGGTGAGGTCAGGACTCTGTGCAGGCCAGTCAAATTCCTCTACCCCAAACTCACTCATCCATGTGTTTATGGACCTTGCTTTGTGCACTGGTGCGCAGTCGTGTTGGAACAGGAAGGGGCCAACCCCAAACTGCTCTCACAAAGTTCTGAGCATGAAATTGTCCAAAATGTCTTGGTATGCTAACGCTTAAAAATTCCCTTCACTGGAACTAAAGGGCCAAGCTCAACCCTTGAAAAACAACCCCACACCATAATCTCCCCCTCCATCAACTTTTACACTTGGCACAATGCTTTCAGGCAAGTACCGTTCTCCTGGTAACCGCCAAACCATTATATGTCCATCGGATTTCCAGAAAGAGAAGCATGATTTGTCACTCAAGATAACATGTCTTCACTGCTCTAGAGTCCAGTGGCATCGTGCTTCACCACCACATCAAATACTTTGCATTGCACTTTGTTATGCAAGACTTGGATGCAAGCTGTTTGGCCATGGAAACCTATTCCATGAACCTCTCCACACACTGTTGTTGTGCTAATCTGAAGGCTACACAAAGTTTGGAGGTCTTTAGCTATTGAATCTGCAGACAGTTGGAGACGTCTGAGCATTTTGCACTTCAGCATGCACTGTCATTTTACGTGGACAACCACTTCATGGCTGAGTTGCTGTTGTTGCCAGTTGCTTCCACTTTGTTATAATACCACTAACAGTTGACCGTGGAATATTTAGTAGCAAGGAAATGTCACGGATGGAATTATTGCACAGGTGGCAACCTATCACAGTACCACGCTTGAGAGCTGCTTGAATTCACTGAGCTCCTGAGAGTGACCCATTCTTTCACAAAGGTTTGTAGAAGCAGTCTGCATGCCTAGGTACTTGAATTGTTACACCTGTGGCCATGGAGATGATTGGAACACCTGATTACAATGCTTCAGGTGTTCTTTAACTACTACCTCTAACAACTGGGTTCCCAAAGATTTATTAACAAGGATTTTTTTTTCTTTTTTCACCCTTTATATATATATATATATATATATATATATATATATATATACTTTCTTTGTATTTTGTGTTTTACTGTCTAAATAATGTACATTGCAAACTGCTCATTGCATTTTTAAAATGTACTTTTAACTACATGTGGGAATATGGATGTATAAAATTTAAAAACTATCCAAAGGTCTCCTAGTAGGAAGAAATCTTTATGTTGCAATTCATCTTTGCTCAGCACTAATTAGCATTCTCATGAGTTTCTTTCTTTTGAAATACAGGAATCTTGACACTTGAGAGCTGATTAAAAGATGCCTCAGACATACTTAAGCAGTACTTAGCATCATTCGGAAAATTTTCTATGTTTCGTTGTGAAGCTATCACATGAGAAAAACCTGTTACACTGTAAAAGTCATTCTGGCCATAACAAGTGTTTTTGTATAAAGAAAAGATATGAAAAGACATGAGACATTTCAAATCTTAATGCATTGTACTGTGAAAAATTTAACAATGCTTTTAAAGCACATTCAAACAACACCAAGTTTATGACATTTGAATGTTGATTGGTCCTAAAATACAGTTCACTTAAAAATAACTAGAATATACTGTACTCTACACTTTCAAATTTAAAGAGACACTGTCACCTTGTCCATTCATGGCAAATTGCTAGTGTCTTTGCAATGGACCTCTTGGACACACTGACGCTAACTTTGCCAGCATTTCTCAACTACTCCTTCCTATGTGTCAGCCAATGACAATACTTGGTGTTTCTTGGTATTGGGGAACATGTGACATTCTTCCATGGGACAGTTGAGGTCTAGTAGACAATTACTAGACCCCAGTACTGTTACATGAAAATAGTGGAAATGTTTCTGTCCCCTTAACATCCAACAGCAGCTGAACAGAGGAAGGAGCTGGGGGAAAGCTAGCAAGGTGAGCATCAGTATCTCTTTAAGGAATCATGAGGTTGGACATTCTTGTCAAACAAAGCCATTTTCATTCCAAACCAGCTGCATCTCTCAATTGGAGCATTGAGTGTTTGACAAAAAGGCTGCTTTTAATCTGCTTTTTCTGTAGTTAAATGTACCTCAATAGGACATTCTGCATCCAAAGAAAAACAGCACAACACAAAGCATGTTGAATGCCAAGGATTGTGCACAGGGGCGGACTGACAACTCATGGGGCCCCCGGGCAATAGGGGATCATGGGGCCCCTGTGTCCTTGCCCAAACCTATGAAAAAGGTACCGGGGACATCTCATGGGGCCCCCCCCCTACCGACCCCCGGGCCCTCGGGCAGTGCATGGGTTTTCAAATTTGGTCAGTCCGCCCCTGATTTTGAAAGACCTAGGGCTCCTTTGGGCACAGAGAGGAGATAAATGAAGCGGAAGTAGATAAATTGCACTAACAATGCAAGGAGTTTAGCCACTTCCCTGGGTGGACGTCATGTAACTTCAATATTTATAGCTAGCAATGGGCTAAATAGCCACTCAATTACTTCTGTGGGTGGTGGAAGAGTGCCCCCCCCCCACTGCCGCCAGCTTTCCTGGGCTCTCCCATCCAACCAGGGAGCCGGGGATGGCTGCAACCACTGGCAATAGCTGCACTTCACAGAGAGAGAGAGGCATTGACATTGTTCCTTCCTCTTTTTGACCCCAGAAACCAGAAGCAATGAGGATTTCATCACTTTAGGTTCCTGCCTAGCAGCTAGGAAAGCAACTGATCTGTGTCTGATCGGCTGCATTGCTCATGCTAAGGGCCCATGCTAAGGGCCCATGCTAAGGGATGTCATTCATTCCTTGTGAAAACAATAAAGTTAAAAAAAATTAAAGAGGCAGTGTACAAAAATGTTTAAATTAAAGAATGTAAAGTGCCCCCCCATGCTTATGGGCAAATGTATATGCATATGTAATGTGAAGGGCAAATGCATATGTAAACAGTGATCTCACCACACTTTAAAAGGTATTATTGCAAATGTAAGAGTGAGAGCAATAATTCTAGCACCAAACCCTCTGTGTAACTCTAAACTGGTAACCTGTAAAAATGTTTAAAGTGTCACCTATGGAGATTTTTAAGTACTATAATTTGGCGCTGTTCCACGGGTATACGCAGTTTTAAAGCATGACGTTAAGTATCTATTTACTTGGAGTAACATCATCTTGGGTATTATATTGTGTTTGTATTTTTTACAAATGTAAAAAATGTGTTTGAAAAACAAGTGCTCAAATACTGGGGAGAGAGTTACTAAAATTGGTGCACTCAGAATCTGGTGCAGCTGTGCATGGCAGCCAATCAGCTTCTAACTTCAGCTTGTTCAATTGCAAGGCTACGTTCACACTAGTCTTGTGTGCAGGCGGCAGAGAGGCGTTTGGGAAGCGTTTTTACCGCTTCCCAAACGCCTCTGCCAACTCTGCACATTACAGCACATGGTGCTGTTCTAACAGGAGCGTTTGCGTCGCGTTGCGTCGCGGCAAAACGGACGCCTCTGGTCGAGTCAGGAGGCTTTGAAGCCTCCTATTCTCGTCTATGGTGCCGCTCCGCAAACGCCCGGCCGGCGTTTGCGACGCGGTTGCGGGGCGTTTGCGGAGCGGTAACACCACTCAAATGCATTATAGGCGTTTGTGGGGCGTTATTAACGCTCGGCAAACGCCTAGCAACCGCCGCTAAACTGCGCATGCGGCGTTTGCGGAGCGTTTGCCGAGCGTTAAAAACGCTCCGCAAACACCGGACCAACGCTTGCCAAACGCTATAGGGGCGTTTGGCAAGCGTTGGCAAAACAGCCTAGTGTGAACGAGCCCTTAAGCTTTGACAATAAAACTTGGAAACTGATTTATTTCTATGCAGATTTGTACCAGATTTTACACTCCCCAGTTTTAGTAAATAACCCCATGTGACATAAAAATTGTAACACCCATTATTTTATTCTCTGAGCCTCTGCTAAAAAATATAAATATAATGTTTGGGGTTCTAAGTTATTTTTTAATTAAAAAAAGAACAGTTTTACATGTACGTGAGAAGTGTCATATTTGGCCTGGTTGGCAAGCAGCTAAAGAGACATGGGTAATAAAATGTAAGCCTGTTTATTGTACACATGGCACATACTGTGCAATGTCACAGTCCTTGTACCTAGAAAATATGCTTTAACTACTGTGAAATAGCTCAAAGTATTACAGACACATACAAACATACAAAGCATAACCATTATTTAAAATAATGTCAGCTGTGTGCAGAAAAAGTATATGTAATGAAGGAGATTTTTTTTTTTTTTTTTAAAGAACAATTTCAATAAAATTGTCAATGACTACTTAGCAGGCAGCATTGTTGAGACAATAAACACGTTGGTCTCTTAATATTGCATAAAGAGTGCAGTAATTGGGAATATGAAGTACATAGTCCGGGATTGTGTAGCACACAAAGTGCAGGGATTACTAATACATAATGCTTAGATCAGAGGGCTGACGCGTTTTCAACATGCAAAAGTGAAGGGGCAGATCAAGGGGCATAAACGCACAGATTGAAGAACTCAATCGCATATTCACAGAGCGAGGAGTCAGAAGTGCAGGGAAGAGAAGTGCATATAGCATAAAGTATATGGGTCAGGAGTGCCTACAAACTGCAGGAGTCAACAATGCCTAATGTATGCAACAGAGAGTTCAGAAATGTGTAATACAGCACTTAGGGGTCAGGGGTGTGTAACAGAGTGCAGGGGTCAAGAGTATTTAAAGCAAAGTGCAGAGGTCAGAAAAATGTAGCACATAGGCTGGTGTACAGAGTACAACCAAAAATTACCCCTCCTACAAGTAACCCCTATCCCTCCAGTACAGGGGCGGACTGACCATTTGGAAACTCAGGCACTGCCCGAGGGCCCGGGGTCAGTAGGGGACCCCATGAGATGCCCCTGCTACCTTTTTCATAGGCTTTTTTGAGTTTGGGCAAGGACACAGGGGCCCCATAATCCCCTATTGCCCGGGGGGGCCATGAGTTGTCAGTCCACCCCTGCTCCAGTATAGGTTTCTTACCTTATCTTATGTAGAATGCATATTGTATTATGTCTCTTCCACAGGGATTAATCAAATAATAAACCGCCACACATAAACCTAAACAAATTGTAGATTTTATAATTAGTTAACTAAAAACATAATTATATTCTAAGACCATAAAATACAAGTTTTATTTCAAACCCTCTATGGATGAATATATTTATTATTTATTCAAGGTACTTATATAGCGCCATCAATTTACGCAGCACTTTACATATATATTGTACATTCACATCAGTTCCTAACCCTCAAGGGGCGTACAATATAAAGTCCCTAACTTACATTACATTCATACATACACATACTAGGGCCAATTTAGACAGGAGCCAATTCACCTACCAGCATGTCTTTGGAGTGTGGGAGGAAACCGGAGTACCCGGAGGAAACCCACGCAGGCACAGGGAGAACATGCAAACTCCAGGCAGGTGGTGCCGTGGCTGGGATTCGAACCAATGACTCTAGTACTGCCAGGCGGAAGTGCTAACCATTTTAAATCCACATCGAGGTCTGGTGGCCCCCAGACTGAGACTTGGTAGAATTATATCCATTGTGACATCCAGACCGAGGCTTGGTTTATCCAAGTGGTGGCCATTTTAAATCCATATTGAGATCCGGTAACACAGTGGCCATTTTAAATTTCAATAATTGATCTAAGGGGGCTCAGTCCCTCTCTAGATGGCTATAAAAAGAAGCGGCGATGGCCGCACATAGTTTCCACACCCCAGACAATGTCATATGTGATGAAACGAGTTGGATGCAGCTTTTGTGTCTGACGTCAACATGCTGCTCTCTAACACCAGGAAGTGTACCTGTTCCCGGGGCAGGAGAATACTCTGTACACAGCGCTGATTTGCCCACCTGAATGTGAGTGCAATACTTTACGATAATAAATGTGTTTTAGGGTTTTATGAGATGGTCGCCCCTTTGTCTTTCTTTGTATGGACATACTAAGAGGTATTATTGTGTGCTTAAGAATGGGAAGGAACTGAAGGTGATACTTCCATCCAGTACCATGATATAACATCTTCCAATTCTGAGGGATTTGGTGGATCTCCTAGATTGTAAGCTCCAAGGAGCAGGGCCCTCCTATCCCTCTTGTATTGAACTGTATTGCTGCTGTATTATCTCCCGTTATATTGTAAAGCGCTGGGCAAACTGTTGGCGCTATATAAATCCTGTATAATAATAATAATATATTCTTATGCATTTGTGACTTTTTAAGGGTCCACATGTTCTGGTAAAAGTCCTACCATTTTCTGATAGTGGAGCACTAATTATATTGAAGACACGTGGTGATTTACTATATGGTTCATAACACTGGGACTATTCATTTCTAGATTTGGACTCATTTATTTTATTACTTATATGGTTGTGACAGATTATGAGTTGTGGCATTTGAGCATGGCAAATTTATAATATTTCTATACAATTGACCTGATTGTCTTGCCAGCAGCTATTTTTCCACTTTTTCACTATTTGCACAGCTTTTTTGTTTCTTTTTGCTTATAGATTTCTTACTCCCCTGAACCCACAGTACAAATCTGCCCTACCCCACATCCCTCACTCAAGTACAAATCTTTCCCCAATATAGCTCCCCCCAAATCCCCCTGGTACCGATCTTTCCCTCCTCAACATCTATCTCCTCCCACTAAATGCCACTCACCAGACATCAAACACAGTGGAAGTGCAGAGTACATGTACCAGGTGCCTGTCGTTAGTGACACAAATGAAAGAATACAATTGCTAAGCACAATATTTAACAATTACCAACAGTGGTGCTAAAAAATCTGTCTTCATATATCTACATTTCTGGGGGGGTTTTTGTATTCTAGAGTTTTATTGACTATCATCACTCTCTTATTTTAAACACAAATCACCAGCGCCAAAATTCGTGAAAATTATATACCAAATAAATACACACTGCAACAAAAATATATATATATATATATATTTTTTTTTTTATATACAGATCTGTGAAAACACCCTGGAGGAGGGGCAAAATGCATTGACGCAATTCCGGCTTCGCCGTCTAGCATAATACGTCATTTCCGGTGAGTGGAAGACACGGCGGCGTGCAGTGTTCCCGGGGGCCATTTTGCTTATGGGTGATTCTTGTGCTGTCATCTGTTGCTGACTGTGAGATTTCAGAAAATATCCTTGTGATGTAGCATTTTGGCACCATTCAAAATGCAATAAATGCTTATTTTATTTATAAAGAATGTTAGTGGTTTGATACTTGGAAATTGAGCATAACCAAGTGTTGCAGTATTACGCAATATATTAGTTTTTTTTCC